CTACCGTTGCCTGAACTGTAACAGCAGCTTCCCCAATGCTCTACCTGCAGCCATTCTCGTCTTTGGAGCCAGCATGATCTTTACCATTCTGAAGCTTTCCATGAACCTGACCCTCAAGGATTTGAAGGGAGCGGGCACCTGCTTAGCAATGCAGTTTCATCTTACAGCACTCTCTCTTTTGTTCTTGAACTGCAAGCACAATGTTATGAGTGATTAAAAAGCTCCTCTGATAAGGCAAGCTTCCATAGGTTCTTTGCAAGAGCTATTTCCTCTGCTTTGAAAGCTTCTCCCTCCCCTCCATCTTTGCTTCAATAACTCATTAATTTCAGTTCAGTCAATTTCCTCAGGGAAACCTAACCTGGTTTTTTCTTATAAGGTTTGGGTCCCCTACTAGGAACTCTCCTGTTAGACTTTTACATTTGCTTAAATGCTTCTACTATTAATGTCTTTCTCCCCTGGACTGTAAGCTCCATGAGGGCAAAGACTTGCTCAGTTTTTGCTCTCTCTTCTGTTGCCTGTGACTAGCACAATGCTTGGTACATAACTGGTGTTATAAATATCCACCGAGCAAATGAATAACACAATGGTGTTCTTGGTGCACAAAAGAGAAGAGAGAAAAAGAGAACAGAAAAGAAGATATGATAGGGTGTAGGTAAGAGGAGAGAGCAAGAATAAACACTGATCCAACACGAGAATCAATAGGGTCAATCTGATTTATTGTTTGATTGAAGAACAATAGTGAAAACAGCACGGATAGACGAAAATGCTAATTCAAAAAGACACGCACACCCTAATGTTCATAGCATCACTATTACAATAGCCGAGATATGGAAGCAACCAAAGTGCCCAGAAACAGACAAATGGATAAAGAAGATATGATATATATGTGTGTATACACACACACACACACACACACACACACACAATGGAATACTACTCAGCCGTAAAATGAATGAAACTCTGACATTTGTAGCAATGTGAATGGACCTAGAGAATATTATGCTTAGTGAGTACATCAGATAGAGAAAGACAAATACTGTATACTACTTATATACTACTTATATGTGGAATCTAAAAAATGATATTTGGGTTGGCCAAAAAAGTTCATTCGGGTTTTCCATAACATCTTAAGGAAAACCCCAAATGAACTTTTTGGCCAACCCAATACAAACAAATGCATATAGCAAAATGAGAAACAGGCTCACAGATATAGAAAACAAGTTAGTGGTTACCAGAGGGGAGAGGAAAGGGAGGAGGGGCAAATCAGGAGTAAGGGATTAAGAGATACGAACCTCTACGTACAAAATACATAAGCAACAAGGATATATTGTATAGTGCAGGGAATTAATAGCCATTGTTTTGTAATAACTTTTAATGGAGTATAATCTGTAAAAATGCTGATTCACTATGCTGTGCACCTGAAACTAATATAATACTGTTAATCAACTATACGTCAATTTTAAAAAAAGGCTATTTAAAAACCCAGCATGGATAGACTTCATGGTTTACTTACTGTGAGGCTCAGGCATAAAAACTTTATTAGAGAAGCCATGAATACACGTGTATAGATGTGTGTAATTTTGATCTGATAATCAAATGCTTTTCTCTTTTAGTTGCTAAGTCAATTATTCATTTAATGAATAACTGAATTGAACTGTAGTCTAAATGCAGACTCTGGTTAACAACTTTTTTAAAAAAGATTGAGATAGAATGACATAAATATTGTATCAGTTTTAGGTGTACAACATAATGATTTGATATATGCATATACTGCAAAATGACTGCCACAATAAGTCTGGTTAACATCCATCATCATATAGTAACAATTTTTTTCTTGTGATGAAAACTTAAAAAAAAAATTAATTAATTATTTTTTGGCTGTGTTGGGTTTTCGTTGCTGCGTGTGGGCTTTCTCTAGTTGCGGTGAGCGGGGGGCTACTCTTCCTTGCAGTGCGCGGGCTTCTCATTGCGGTGGCTTCTCTAGTTGTGGAGCAAGGGGTCTAGGCACGTGGGCTCAGTAGTTGTGGCTCACGGGCTCTAGACCGCAGGCTCAGCAGTTGTGGTGCACGGGCTTATTTGCTCTGCGGCATGTGGAATCTTCCCGGACCAGGGCTTGAACCGTGTCCCCTGTATTGGCAGGCGGATTCTTAACCACTGCGCCACCAGGGAAGCCCGATGAGAACTTTTAAGATCTATTCTCTTAACAACTTTCAAGATCTATTCTCTTAACAACTTTCAAATATACAATACTGTATTGTTAATTACAGTCACCATTCCCAGGATTTATTTGTTTAAGTGGAAGTTTATACATTTTGAATGCCTTCACTCCTTTTGCCCATCCTCTGCCCTCTGCCTCTGGCACCACCGATCTGTTCTCTGTATCTGAGTATCGTTAACAATTCTAACCAAATTTTAAACTATGCTATTTCACATATTAACAGATTAAAAAATTATTATTTCCCACTTTGAGTAGTGTTTAAAACTGCTCATGTGTCCTACATTAAGGTCTGAAGCTGGCCACCCCATACTTGAAAATCAGTGGTTCAATGAAAAAAGAGGAATAGAAGTCTACTTCTTTCACATAACAATGAGTATTTACTCAAATCCAAGAGCTAATGACAGACTTAATGGAAAAGTGCTAAAGCCATTCTTTTAAAATTAAAATGAAACAAGAAAATCTTCTGCAATTAATATATTAATTAATATTAAGACGTAACATAAGCCATGAAAATGAAATATTGATCCAAGATACAAGAAATAATACTGGAAAGGAAGAGGCAAAAAGATAATTTGCAGATAACATTACTGTAAAACTAGGAAAGCCAAAACAATTTGTCAAGCAAAAGTTTTAAATAATTTTGAATATTAAGATAATTAAATAATTCTTATTAAAATAATGAAAAAGCAGTTGGACACAAAATATGACCTGCATCCCAACAATAACTGAACAGAATACATAATATTATAGATATTATTTATAATCATTTATATATGTATTTCCTACATAATGAAAAGGACATCCATTAAGAATAACAACAAATGTTAAAAATGCTTATGAAGTAGCTTAATTTAGTGACCTCTGACTTAGAGTTTTACTGAGAAATTTAAAAAAGCAGCCACAAATAAATGAAACTACCATATTCCTGAATGAGAGACTAAATATGATAAAGATGTCAGCTTCTCTCAAATTTATTAACAGATTTTTCATAATCCCATTGAAAAAACCCAAATAGTATTTTTTTTTAATAAATTGAAAGAAGGATTATAAAATTCAGTTGGAAAATTACCAGGCAAAATCATCAAAGAATTTCATGAAAAATGAAGTGTACTGAAACGGTTAGCCCTAATGGCCAAATATCAAAACATATTAAAAGCAACAATAATTAAAATAACATGGGGGGACTTCCCCGGAGTTGAGAGTCTGCCTTCCAATGCAGGGGATGCGGGTTCAATCTTGGTCGGGGAACTGGGATCCCACATGCTGTGGGGCAACTGAGCCTGTGAGCTGCAGCTATTGAGCCCATGCCACAACTAGAGAGCCTGTGTGCTGCAACTACAGAGCCCACATGCTCTGGAGTCTGTGCACCACAACTAGAGAGAAGCTTGCTCACCACAACTAGAGAGAAGCCTGCACCCCTCAATGAAAGATCCCATGTGCTATACCTAAGACCTGACCCAGCCAAAAATATAAATAAATAAATAAATATTAAAAAAAAAAAACCATGGTTCTGGCCCCAAATTAGACACCTATTTTAATTGAAGAGAACAGAGTCTAGAAATATTCTATTTCTTATAAGAATTTAATCCAAGAGACATCATGAGTCAATAAGAAAGGTAAGCATTATGTAGAAAATTATACTGGATAATTAAATACCAATTTTGATAAAAGTAGTGGTAGATCATTATAGCAATGGCTCCCACAGAATCATGTCTCCCTTTTCTACATCCTTGTGTCTCTGGGTGTGGGCACACCACAAAGTTTTGGGTGGGTTGTTATGCAGCAGTACCCAACATATTAAAACATCTTATAGAATATACCAAAATATATTCCAGATAGTTGAAGAGTTAAATATAAAATTAAAAGAAAATAAAATTTTGGTCTGAGACCTAAATGAACTTGAGGCATTCAGGTACAAGACATGGTGGTAGTGTGCTAACTTTCTTATCTTCACAAGGGAAAGCCTGAAATTTGACTACCTAACATTAAAGATATCAACAAAGTGCAAAAGCAAGAGAAACAAAATGGAAAGAGAGACAAGAGACTGGGAAAGCAATAGCATAAAATATGGCTAGGGTCAATGTCACTTCTTTATAAAGATATCGTTCAAACTCATATGTAAAACAAAGCTATGAACATATAATTTACATCAGAGGATGTACAGATATTTTATAAAACAATTACTATCTTGATAGTAATTAAAGAATTAGAACTATAACAACCTTGAGGTAACATTTTACCCCAAGGAATTTAGAAAAAAATGGTATAATTTGGTCTTAGGTTGTGTATTTTGATGGCACTGTAGATTTGTACACTTTGGAGAGAAACATCATTCATAGCCACTAAAACTTTTGTATCCTTTGACTCAACATTCCTACTCCAGGAAAATTATCCAAAGAAAGTAATTCGCAAGTGTAAAAAGCCAATACCCAAAGATACTCTTTACGATATTATTTTAATAGTAAACCGTTGAGACTTTGTATTGCCCCAAAAAAGGGCAATTACTTTGGCTGAGCATAAGAATTCCATGTTACCATTAAATGTTAAATTTATGAAGATTAGGAAGCAGCAAAAACACATGTTAATGTCATGCTAGATGCAAAGCAGAATTTAAATGCATATAACGAACATAATGGAATGAATACACATGATCTTATTAAATCCTCAGACTCTGAGATGTCTTAGCTCTATAATTACAGAAGAAACAAAAATTTCACTAATTTCTCAAGGTTCATACTTTTAATAGGTAATAGACCCCAAGCCTGTTAGCTGAAGCACTCACCCATCTTTTCATTTGTAATTGATCCAATTACTCATCTTTTTGTGCCCCAAAGCTTACTCTTCCCACCACATCATGCTTCATATAGTCAAAGTACTGGCAGCCCTATGCGAAAAAGGAAATAATTTCTTAAAGTTTATGGGTTCACACGTTTTTCTCTCTCACCTTTCAAAAAAGTTTTAAAATGTTACATCCATTTTACGATATAAAAATCAAAAATGTAGGGCTTCCCTGGTGGCGCAGTGGTTGAGAGTCCGCCTGCCGATGCAGGGGACACAGGTTCGTGCCCCGGTCCGGGAAGATCCCACATGCCGCGGAGCGGCTAGGCCCGTGAGCCATGGCCGCTGAGCCTGCGCGTCCGGAGCCTGTGCTCCGCAACGGGAGAGGCCACAACAGTGAGAGGCCCACGTACAACAACAACAACAACAACAACAAAAATGAAAAACGTAGTCAAAAATAAAGTACTCAAGTCCTTCACCTACTGTGCCCCACTTACCCGGGAAACTCAAGGTCTACGGAAGCGCGGGCTTCTAAAGGCGGGCGAGGGGCCAGGAGGCGGGGCAGGCGTCGCAAAGAAAAAAAAAAACCAAAACAAAAGTACGCAAAACCCTGCCCCGCGCTGCTTTACGGCACTCGCTCCGCCCCTCCAGGTGCGCGAGTCTGAAGCCGGCAAACATGGCTGACACCTGTTTTCTCGGCCAGGGTTTCTCTACCCTGGTAGGGTTATTGCTCTTGCCTTTCGGCAGCTTGGCCGCTAGTCAGATCGAGGTAGGAGTCAGGCCCTCTGAGCGACAGGGCCCTGGGGGGACAGCTGTGGCCTGGCTGTCAGCGCCCAGCAGATGTCCGATACACAGCCGCCGAGGGAAGCCTTCTGGAGTCACCCACCAGCCTCTTCCTAGGCTGACTGGGCTGTGGGGAGGGTGTCGCAGGGGACGGGATAGGACAGTGTCCGTCTGTTTCAGCCTTTTAAAATGGTTAATGAAAAGAATCAAGTCCTGGGGGCGGGGGAGGGCCTGATCCTTTGCTCCGACTAGCGTGCAGTCCCTAGCTGGTGAAAGGTCAGCGCATGAGTGCCGCACCTACTTTTCCCTGCTACCAAACTATAACGCTCTCCTTTAATAGGAGTCAGATGGATACGGTGTTTTATTTTTGGCTCACACTACGTTCTGGCGCGTTACAAAGCTTTTACTATCCCCTATAGTCTGACAATACCTTCGTCCAGTTCTGCAGCCTACATCTCTAGCATCATTTTTCAGAATATCCAGCTGGCTTAGGGGCCCAGATAGTCAGCAGACAGTTGAAAATTTGTGTCCAAAGTTTTATATTCTGCCTACCCCACCTCCTGTGGGGTTGCTTCTAAGCTAGAAACCTAGGGTTTAAAAAAATTAACTCCTCTCTTTATTTCACATTTTAATCATCACTAAATTCTATGTTCTGAACTTTTAAAATTGCTTTCACCTGTCCAGTTCGACTGGCTTAATGCAGGCCCTGGTCATTTCTTGCTTAGATTATTGCAATAACTTTATCTTTTTTCCTCTAGGCTTCCAAACTCCCTTACTTTAGTCTTCATCAAATGTAAACCTGATCAGGTTATTCTTCTGATTGAATCTTTTCAGTATTTTTTTCATTACATACAGAATAGAGTCTAAACATCATGATCTGGTCTCTAAGCAGAGACTTTTCCATTCTTCATATAGGACCCCATTCTCCCCACCATCTCAGACCTTGAGCTTAGACCAGCGGCTCAAAACTTTTTGAATACACATCCCTACCAGTTAAAAAGAAAGCATGCACTCCCTCTTTCTATTCATGAATTATTGCTAATTTATATATTCAGTATTTATAAAGCATATTGTTTAGATAATGTAAACTTAAATAGAAGTTCTATTTTCCTTATTTAGTAGGTTATTTTGTATACTTCATTTTGGATACCATTACTCTTTTTTGTAGTTACACAGTTGTGCTTTTTTACATTACCATATTTCATTCCTCCAGTTTCTTCTGTTTGCTTATTTACTAAATGCAGTAAAAGCTAACCTCTGTAGAATCTTTCCCTATCCTTTACTTTTGCCTTTACTGTTGTAATTTGTGCACTTAGCTAGTATAGCACTCGTCTCTTATAACCCATGTATTCTTTGTACTCTATTATTACATCATCTTTCACTTAGAGGACAATAGCTGCCTAATTGGTCTGGCTCAAGTCATTCTTTTTTCTTTCCAGTCTGTTCTCCAAGCTGCAGCCCGAGTAACTTTTAAATAACTTTTAAGTAACTTTTAAATATGCAAATCCGATCATGTCAAGAACTAAATCTTGATTATGACCCATAAACAAGGCCTTGCATTCTTTGGCTCCTGCCTACACCTCCAGTTCTCTCTCCCGCTCTCTCTTTTTCAAACTTCTAGTTGTGCTAATCTTTCAGTTTCTAGAAATTTTTAAGCTTCCTTCTGCCATTTGGGCTCATGTTCCCTCTGTCTGGAATTATCTTCCCTCTTCTCATTATCTTTTGGATCCTAACCAAATGTCACTTCTCTAGAGAAACCTTCCCTGACATCCCTGCCTGCCCTTCCCCCTCCCATTCCCTGATCAGGTTAGGTCCCCCTATTATACTCTTTTATGATACTGTATATCTTACCTTTATAGAATTTGTAGTTTGTCCTTATCTGCTTAATGTATGTCTATCAAATTGGATAGTAACCTCTTTGGAGGCAAGTACTAGCACTATTTTTGCCCATCATTGTATTCTGAGCACTGAACAGGGACTGGCACATGGTACCCAATGAATGTGATGAATGAATGAACGTTACATAGTAGTGTAATGTGTTTGCATGCTTGTCTTCTTTATTGAACTCTGGGATTCTTGAGAGAAAGCAGCATGCTTTTTAGTGACTTTTTTGCATCCCTGTACATTACATGGTACCTGGCACATAATAGGTGCTCCACTATGTGTAGAATGAATGAATAACTTTGCAGTGTCTATATTGTCTAAACAATCACAAAAGAGTTTTGCCATCTCAATTTTTTCACTGAAGTCTTAATGATGTGAGGATTTTGGAGCTGGAAGGGACATTAGAGGTTATCGGGTCAACTCCCATTTCTACATGAGGAAAATCAAGTCTACAGAGCTAAATGACTTAACTCCATTCTCACAGTCAGATCTTCAAATTCCTAAACCACTATAGCACATTGCTTTCTTTAGCATCTATGCAGCTGTTGAGAAAGTTTAAAAAGAAATATATATATATATGGCGCGCACACACACACACATATATGACGCACACACATATATGACACACACACACTGAGTGAATTTTTTATTTCATTCTTTCTGAAATTTTCTTGCCAGCTGAAAATTAAAACAGCTAATATTTGTTATACAATTACTATGTTCTAGTCACCATTCCTACATTCTGTGAGTCAGGTAATGTTATCATTTTATAGGTGGGGAAATGGAAGTACAAAGAAATTAAGCAGCTTTCCTAAGTTTATACAGCTAGTAAGTAGTAGGGTCCAGATTTGAATCCAGGCAGTCTGACTGTTCTAGTAATTCATACTGTTTAGGGGCAGATCTGAAATCATTATGGTTTATATTCACTATTATTTTAATATATAATAAAAGTCATATTCATTAGGTGTCTGGATGGTATTGGATGCTGAGGTTTTTAATATTCCATGATGGTAAATATAATTCAGACTTTAACAGATTAGCAAAATGGTACATGGAAGTATGCTAGAGAATGTGTTTAATCACATATATTGGTGAGTTAAAATAAAATAATAGGAAGCACTCAGCACAGAGTAGGAGCGAATATTGAATGAAATTTCGGCAGGAAGGGTATTAATATATGTGAATCAAGAAATGAAATGTCATTCACAATTTGAAGATTGAATAGAAAATGAGAAGCATGAGGAAGAGCTGACTGCATTTGAGATAAAATGTTTAAAAACAAAAATCCCCTCTTGCAGTAGCCTCCTGCTCCCCCCAAATAAAACTATTTTGTCTTTCATAAGGTCAGATACTAGAATATTTATAAACTTGCATAATGATGGCTTACTGTTATTACAACTGTAAAAACTCCGTGAATCGTAACTGTCCTTTATCAGTCTTTATTCTGGGAAATGTGACTTTCTTTTAAGCTTTTTGCTATTATTTGACTAATAGGATCAAGCGGAACAGTTCTTTAGAAGTGGCCATACGAACAACTGGGCGGTTTTGGTAAGTGTATTCTATAAAGGTATACCTTGTTGTTTACATTAGATGTGTATCTGAGAAATTTTGTGTGAATCTAATTCTTGAAAATAATTTATATCTTATAACAGAAATTATTTTCATTTGGCTATATTTAAATTGATCACATCAACTAATAATATCCTTTGTCTTCAGTGTGTCTGTCAAGTGGTGATGTGTAAATACATGGAAAAATAAATTAGGGATCCTATTGTGAAAGGGAGCATTTTATAAAGTGTAGAGTTATTTTAATGATGGAAACTAGTAATTGTATTTCTTGTCTGTAATATTTGTTTATAGATACTTTCTACTTTGGCTATTTTGTTTTTATTTGCTTTTTTTGTCTTTTTTTAATTTGTTTTTTTGTAAACATTTATGTTTACAAAAATAAATGATCATTGTAGAAAATTCAAATTATACAGAAAAGTTTAGAAGACAAATTAATTTTATGTTACTGTGATTAAATAGAATAGCAACGTGGGTTCATGACTCATTTTCTTGTTCTTCAGGAACAAAAACCTTTTATATGCTACTGCCTCATAAGAGATTTTATGAAGGAATTGAACAAAAGCTGCTCATGATAAGGAGATAGGTTTTCAGTGACCACTTAAATTGGGGAAAACTATGAGGAGGCAGGCCATGATCCACCAATTTGAGAAGATAACTTGCTCTATAGGAAACTAAGGGCACTTCCAATTAGTCTCTATAGGAATTCTTAAAAGAGGGAATAACTGCCTATGTGCGACAGCTAATTGCCAAAGGGCTCATCTTTTAGAATAGGAGCCTATTAGCTTATACTACACACACATTGAAGTCTTCCTTGTTCTGGGAAACCTTTAACTGAGCCCCTCTCTAATCTCAGCAACCTAGGTCTCAGATGAGAAATAGAAGGTGAAAAAGAATTACTTCTGAGTATTTGACAACTGCAGTTTTCATGTTTTGTGAAATATTTTACACATTAACTCAGACTTAGTAGAGTGAGACTTCAATAAATTGTACTTTCTTAAGTGGAAAATTATGAAATTTGACCAGGGCCAAGTTGAAAGTATAAAATGTACATTTCTTTAAATGTTATGTAGTTCAAATTAAAGGAAAAAAATATATATGTTTTTCCTCCCAGTTTGAATTAATTTTAATCTTGATTAGATGATCAGAGTTAAATGAAATGCCCCTTCGCTCTTGTAATATGATTGAGAAAACTTGCCACCAGAGGGAGATAGAAGGAAAATCAGATTCTATTTTAGTTTCAGGATCTGCTTTGAATAAAACATTTTTGTCTCTGTTTAATAAAAAATGTTACAAAGATAATCCATACTCATGGTTAAAAAAAATAATACTGATGGGTAGTGATTTTGTTTCTAGCTTTTTGGTTTTGATTTTTGCTAATGTAGGCAATATTATAGTGAAAGTGCTTGAACACATATTTTTACATGCTTATATGAGCTAAATAAAAAAATAAGTACATTTTCAAACTTGATATATGTTGCAAATTACCCTCTTAGAAGGCTTATATTAGTTCACATTCCCATAAATAGGATATGAGTGTTTTGTCCTCATATCTATAGTATTTGCCCTCATACTATTGGCAAGGGTATTGTCATACCCTTGCCAATAGTACAAATTGTCAGACTTTTGGATACTTATCAATTTATGTTTTTTTAAAATTGTTGTATAACTACTTTACAATGTTGTGTTAGTTTCTGCTGTACAACGAAGTGAATCAGCTATATGTATACACATATGCCCTCCCTCTTGGACCTCCCTCCCCCCAACACCCATCCGACCCATCTAAGTCATCACAGAGCACCAAGCTAAGCTCCCTGTGCTATACAGCAGGTCCCCACTAGCTAGCTATTTTACACATGATAGTGTATATATGTCAATCCTAATCTCCCAATTCATCCCACCCTCCCTTTCCCCCCGTGTCCACACATCCGTTCTCTACATCTGCGTCTCTATTCCTGCCCTGCAAATAGGTTCATCTGTACCATTTTTCTAGATTCCACATATATGTGTTAATATATGATATTTGTTTTTCTCTTTTT